TCCCTACTTGAGATTCTTTAAGGAGATTGCAGGGGGTGATCATGGGCAGGCCCGTAGCCATGGGGGGCATTTGGGGGCGATTCCCCTCCCCACAGATGAGCACTGCCCCCTCGGACAATAATTCAAAGAATTTCTTTTTTTTTTTTTAATTAAAACGTAAGGTGCGTGTTGGTATTCCAAAACGACCCCATCCACAGTGAGGGAAGCGTCGGACTTTTTCTCTCTCTCTTTTTTCTGGGCCAAAAAAGAAATAGGGTTTTTAAAAATGCAAAAAATAAAATTGCAAAAAATAAAATAAAATAGCAAAATGCAAGAGAGAGTCAGAGATTCCCCCCCCCCCTTTCCGGCTTGCACAGAAAAGAAGCCCAGAATCGAGTCTCTCCAATCGAAAGGACTAGAGGAGGACTAGAGGTCGCTGCGGAACCGGAGCTGCTGCTGCTTCTGCTGCAAGAGGAGCAGCAGGTGTGGCCGGGGCACCATCCCCCCCAGATTTCCCCATGCTCCACCAACCAAAATTTTCTGGCTATGCCCCTGATCCAGGGACTTTTCATGGGCAAAATATGAGCTTCACCGGTAGTGCTACAGCCATCAAAGGTAGCCAACAAATTATTATAGAGCCAACTTTCATACAGCTGCTGTACTGAGGAGCTATTCATTCCTGCCATTGGCAGCCTAGCAGGTCGCTGGTTACGAGACACACGTGAACAGGTGAAGCTGCCTTATACTAATACAGAAAATGTGAAAAACAAGAACTCTACAAGTATATTGTTTTACTAACACTTTTAATACTAATATTTAGCTTAACATGAAGGGGATCTCCCACTCTTGGGTTTTTAGTTAGTGTGGGTATCTTTCCTTTCTCCATAGTTGTAGTTTCCCTTCCTATATTTTTCGTTATAGTTTGTAGTCTTATGAAAAATAAAAATACCCCTCTGGGGGTTTAAAAAAAAAAAAAGCTGCCTTATACTGAATCAGACTTTTGGTTCATCAAAAGTCAGTCTTGCCTACTCAAACCACTGTCAGCTGTTCTCCAGGGTCTCAGGCAGAGGAGATCTTTCATGTCAGCTATTGCCCCATCGTTTTTTAAACTGGAGATGCTGGGGATTGAACCTGGGACCTTCTGGTGAGCCACGGCTTTTGAGTCAAAAGGCAGGCCTACCACAAACATTGCTGATGTGGTTCTCATTCGGCCTTCTGGGAGACCCTTGTATTGTTCGAGAATCGAGATCAGTTTTTCTTTCCTCTTACCATTTCAGACCTACGCTGGCGGGAATGAACACTTTATCCGGGTCGGGAGTCATCTGGGCCTGAGTGACGGCAAACGATGAAGCGAAGTTGTAAAAATTGTCCAGCATCTTTTGTGTGAACTGAAATGGGGAGAGAAGGCACTCACTGATCAGCATGTCCTCTGCCATCTCCAACAGTTTTAAAAAAGCATTTCACAAAAGGGACTAAAAGCACGGCAAAGTGCACTCCTATGGAAAAGGAAGCATTACTTTTATCGTTATGTGCAGGTTTTAAGCTTGTACGCTGCTTTCAGGAACAAGGATAGCAAAGCAGGCTATTAACATGACACCCGCACACAACACACACAAAGAATAAACCCAAGATATTAGTACGAGAGAGAAGAGGTGTTCAGACATCACAGTAATAGTAAGTTTGCATCAAATGTTGATCACAAGTAGAAATCTGAATGCAAATGATCCAACAAGCCACAGTTTGCCAGTTAGCACTACCTACAACCTGGTCCTTTTAGCTGGAGATGTCAAGGACTGAACTTGGGACCTTCTGCATGTTCAGACATCACAGTCAAAGCTCCCTCTAAGCTGTGGAGACTTGTGAGCAAAAAATTCTACTTTGTGAGCTCCTGGCATTAAAGTCGTGAGTGAGAGGTTTGGCCACTGCATAAATTAGTTTGCTCTGGAGCCATCCTTCCTGAGCTAAGGCAAAAATGTGTGAGCTGGAGCCTAAAAACCTGTGAGCTAGCTCACACTAGCTCAGCTTAGAGGGAACCCTGATCACAGTAATTGTGGTTTGCATCAAACGATCAAAACATTGAATGCAAATGATCCAACATTTGGCCAGTTAGCAATGCTCCCTCTAAGATGTGGGGTCTTGTTAGCAAAGATTCTACTTTGTGAGCTACGGGCACCAAAGCTGTGAGTGAGTGATTTGGCTCCTGCATAAATCAGTTTGCTCTGGAGCCGTCCTTCCTGAGCTGAGAGAAAAATCTGTAAGCCGGGGACCAGAAAACTGCGAGCTAGCTCACACTGACTCGGCTTAGAGGGAACACTGCCAGTTAGCACCAAAGCGGATCTCACACTAGCAACAGGTTTGTGCCCTCTAAATGCACAAGCCGCGGTTTGCTAAGTGGCTCTGCTCCCTGAACAGTCACCTGCAAACAAAGATGGCAGGACAGGGGGATGCCCCCTCCTTCTGGGAGGTGGAGAAGAGGCAGGAAAGAGATGGATTAACCTTGACCCACAAGCCAGGCCCTGTTACTTACACGTGGCTGTGCACAAACCGTGGTTTATTGTCATGTCTGAACCTGGTTTATTGTCCTACCCTGACCTGCGTGGCTCAGGCAAGCCCAATCTTATTTATTTTATTTTATTTATCGTTCGATTTATTACCCCGCTTGAACCCCCGCTAAGGGATGTCAGATGTCAGAAGGGATTTATTTATTTAGGTTTTTATCCCACCCATGATTAAGTCACTGGATTTAAATATCCAAAGGCATCTTGATTTTGCTATTAGAATACGAGATAATCTCTTGGGATTGCCCTGCTGCACATCACCAGTTCCAGCTACTGAAAATACACGTTTGCCTTTTAGCACTTTTAGCACTGGGGTGTGTGTGTTAGATTTACACAAACACTACCAGCGACATGCGTGAAGAAGCTAGAAAACCAGTTTTTAAAAACCGAACTGAAACTCACTCTTAAATTGGGGGAATTATGCCCCTGTTAACAGCTCCTGAACTCTCAAGGCATCTTCCCTCACACTGCCAAGGTGCGACACCTGCTATGCCACTCTGGTGCATTGCAAAGGATTCTGGGGAATGCTCTAGGGGACACCAGGTTCATGCCAGGCATCACTATTTCTCTGGGCAGAGAGGTGGGCACTAGAACACTGGTTCTCAACCAGCACCACAGTGGTAGGGCACGGAAGTGGCTGATGCAGGGCACCCAACAATTACTCATTTACTCCTTCTCGATCCCCACATTCACCCGCTGCTGTAATGTCCCATCTCCTGACGACCCCACCTGCCACAGATTATCCAACCGTGACCTTTCTGGCAAGCTAGCAGTAACAACGGAATGCCTCTAAACTTTATAATTTGGGGTTTTTTGTTTCAATCAGCAGCCCAAATACCCAACTTAGCCTGGGCTTGTCAGAACTTGGGAGCTAAGCATAAGAGCACAACAGAAGCCAATGTTGGATCAGGCCAATGGCCCATCCAGTCCCAACACTCTGTGTCACACAGTGGCCAGAAATACCAGGTGCCCTCAGGAGGTCCAGCAAGGTCGGCTAAGGTCAGTACTCAGAAGGGAGACCACCAAGGAAGACTGGGGTTGCTGTGCAAATGGCAAACTGCCTCTGCCCATTTCTTGCCTGGAAAGCCGGGTGGGATGGGGCCACCATGAGCCGCTCGAGACTCAACAGCACCTTGTACTTTATTTCTACCATGGTGGAAACCAGGTTCTTTTAGAAGAGTGATTGGTGGGATGCCTGGGGCGAAGGGTTGAGAACCGCCACCCTAGAACCCATCAACACCACCCTGAAGCTGCACACTGCCAGAGAAGAGGTGCAGGGCAGGCCATCTTTCAGAGAAACCTGGCCACCGGGAGATCTTTGAGGTACTCCAGAGCAATGTTCCCTCTAAGCTGTGGAGTCTTGTGAGCAAAAATTCTCCTCTGTGAGCTGCTGGCCTTAAAGTGGTGAGCGAGCGATTTGGCTACTGCATCAATTAGCTTGCTCTGGAGCCCTCCCTTCCTGAGCTAAGACAGAAATGTGTGAGCTGGAGGCTAAACTTCTGTGAGCTAGCTCACACTAACTCAGCTTAGAGGGAACACTGCTCCGGAGGTGCCTGGGACACGGTTTGCAAATCACTCCTCCAACAAATAGAGCAAGAGTGATGCTGACAATAGGTACACACTCGGCCAATCACATGCGATCATTCAAGGTGTTCTGATGAGCCAGTGTGGTGCAGGGCTTAGATTGTCAGAATCATTCCATCTACTGGCCTTCCTTGTTGAACCTCCCATCTTCGTACGGCCCATCAGGGGGAATACCTACAGTCCGGTTTACGGCCTCGTGGCTCCAGTTTCCAAGACTATCACACTATACTGCAGTGCTATCTGTCCTTCATTTATAGCTTAGTTTTTAAATGTTTTAACTATTTGTTGTGAAATGTTTTAACTCGTATTGTGGATTTCGCTACTGTGATCTGCTCTGAGCACACTTGCGGGGAGAGCAGGAGGCAAGCCAAAATTAATAATAAAAATAAAGTAGGACCTGGGAGGTCCAAGTTCTAATCCCCACTCTACCGTGGAAGCTTGCTAGATGACCTTGGGCCGGTCACCCGTTCTCAGCCTAACCTCCCTCCCTCTGAGCTGTGGAGTCTTGTGAGCAAAAATCCTACTTCATGAGCTCCTGGCATTAAAGCTGTGAGTGAGCGATTTTGGCTGCTGCATAAATTAGTTTGCTCTGGAGCCCTCCTTCCTGAGCCAAGACAAAAATCTGTGGCTCTTTCACACACATTGTGCTGCTCCCAGCAAGGCAGCTGGGGAAGCGAAGCGGAGACATGCCTCCCCAACCGGTCTTCCCTTCCCCAGCCAGTGTTCCCCTCCCTGGGTAGGCTTGAGGTAGGGGAGGGAGCTGAGAAA